GAGGTGACGGCGAGACGCAGCTCTGCGAGCGAAAGGCATTTCGGCATTAGGACCACTTTTCCTCTTCCAGCGGATGAATAGGCGCTCTACGCGGTTGCAACCGACCTCTTCTGGGCTGCTGTTGAGCAGCACAGCCTCACGCGCGCTGCGTGCGAGCGCATCTGTCCCGGCGGCGACTTTGATCGGACGTCGTTCACGCGCGAGGCGAGCGCGGAGCAGGGGTGGGGCATGGAGCGGGGCGGAGACCGAGGTGTCGGCTCGGGCGAGAGCGTCAACGCGAGCCGCCACGTCCGGCGGCACGGCGACGGTCCGCACAACACGAGCCCCATCTCGCTGCTGCACGCTGGTGCGAGGGCGCGGGGTGCGGCGGATGGGAGTGGCGTGGTCGCGTTCAGGCGGACGGGCGCAGCGCGGCGGCCGTCGCGGAGTCGGCAGCGCCCTTCATGAAGGTGGGCATTTGTACTCAACTGATCGTGATTGAAAACTGCAGTTTCCGTGTGTGAGAGTGTGTCGTAGTAGAGGTTCCCGCCATATATTTTCTTTGGAAATTCTTTTTTTGCCTGCCGCGTTTTTTGAGAGCGCCCGCCTGCGGTGTTAAGAAAGAGACGCTCGCTCGCACACACACGCCGCACTGCACCTCTCGCACGGATTTTCCGAAAATCTTTTCCCCGACTTTTTTTTCTTTTTTTTTCTCGCCCGGGCTCGTGAGCCGGTGCCGCTCGCGCCGCGGGCATGAAGTTCGGCAAGGACCTGCAGCAGTACCGCGCGCCCGGGTGGGAGGACGACTACATCGACTACAAGGAGCTCAAGCTCATCCTCAAGCGCCTCGAGGACGACGACGCCACCAAGGACGAGGTCGACGCCGAGTTCTTCCAGGCGCTCGAAGACAACCTCGAGAAGGTGAACCGCGCCTTCCTCGAGAAGTGCCAGCACCTCGAGGCGGTCCTCGACCAGACGCCCGTCGGCCGGGAGCGCTGGTCCGCCAAGGAGCCCTCCTCGCGCGCGTCTGGCGGCTCTTGCGGGCCAGGCACGCCGCGCCACCCAGGCACGCCGGCATCGCTGGCGTCGCTGTCGCTCGGGCCGCCCTCGTCGGGCGCCGCGGACAGGTCTGGCGGCGGCGTGCCTTCGCCAAAGCCGGCTCGGCTCAAGGCGACGCCGCTCGGCGACGGCCGCGAGGGCGACGCGGCGGCGGCGGCGGCGGAGATTGAGGCGAAGCTAGCGGAGCGCGAGTTCTACGAGGCGTATCGGATGCTCGGGCGGCTGCAGACGTACGTCTGGATCAACACGAAGGGGTTCCAGAAGATCATGAAGAAGTACGACACGCGGATGGAGCTGCTGCTGTGAACAGCGTCTCTTCACACCTCCAGCTGTGAACAGGTATGACAAGCGGATGGAGCTGCGCGGCACAGCGCAGGAGCTCGGCCCAGAGTTTGAGGCGCGGCTCGAGAAGGAGGCCTTCTGCTCCGGCAAGATGAGCATCCTAGCAGAGATGTTCAAGTCGCGCCGGCCCGGCGGAGTGTCGTCGAGCGGGATCGCAGCCGCAGGCAGCCGGCCGCAGCTGCAGCTCATCACGGGCAACGCAAACAGCGAGCTCTCCAGCGAGATTGCGGCGAGACTTGGGGTGCCTCTCACGCCGGCCAAGATCGCGCGCTTCCCGGACGGCGAGGTGTCGATTCAGATTCTGGAGAACGTGCGCAACTCGGACGTGTACATCATACAGCCAACCTGCCCTCCGGTGAACGACAACCTGATGGAGCTGCTGCTGTGAACGGCGCCTCTTCACACCCGCGCACCCGTGAACAGGTGAACGACAACCTGATGGAGCTGCTGCTGTGAACGGCGCCTCTTCACACCTCCAGCCGTGAACAGGTGAACGACAACCTGATGGAGCTGCTGCTGTGAACGGCGCCTCTTCACACCTCCAGCCGTGAACAGGTGAACGACAACCTGATGGAGCTGCTGCTGTGAACGGCGCCTCTTCACACCTCCAGCCGTGAACAGGTGAACGACAACCTGATGGAGCTGCTGCTGTGCGCGTCGGCGGTGCGGCGCGCCGCCGCGGCGCGCGTGACGGCCGTGGTGCCGTACTACGGCTACGCAAGGCAAGACCGCAAGGAGCGGCCGCGCGTGCCCCTCTAATTACTACTTAACACCCGTCAGTAATGATTGGTTGTGGTATTAACTTTTTAATTAGGAGCGGTCGCGAGTGCCCATCTCCGCGGCGGACGTTGCGAAGATGATGGAGGCGACGACGAAGGGGGGGGGGGGGACCTCCGGGCGACATATTTCTTTTTTGTGCCCACCGCAGTTCTGCTGCTTCTCTCTCAGGCGATGGGGGTGGACCGGGTGTGCTGCGTCGACCTGCACTGCGGCCAGATCCAGGGGTTCTTCGGCCCGCGCACGCCGGTGGAGAGCCCCATCTCTCCCCATCTCTCCCCATCTCTCCCCACATCTCCCCATCTCTCCCACATCTCTCCCACATCTCTCCCCAGAGGTAGCTCTGGGCCCAGTATTAGTCACCATCATTGCCAGCGGTTCATACTTGGTAATGGATACCACAGGTGGACAACCTCTGGGCCACGCCGATCGCGGTGTCCTACTTCAAGACGCGCGAGCTCAACAACGTGGCCGTGGTCTCGCCGGACGCAGGCAGTTAATCGCAGTTAATTAGCAGTTAACTAGCAGTTAATTCGCAGTTAACTAGCAGTTAACTAGCAGTTAACTAGCAGTTAATCAGTAGTTAACTAGCAGTTAACTATCAGCTAACTAGCAGTTAAGTAGCACTTAACTAGCAGTTAACTAGCAGCTAACTAGTCGCCGTGGTCTCGCCGGACGCGGGCGGCGGCGTCGCGAGAGCAAAGATGTTTATGAACTAGCAATGATAAATGATTAATTGTCGTTAAATCACAGGCGGCGTCGCGAGAGCAAAGATGTTTATGAACTAGCAATGATAAATGGTTAATGATTATTGATCTCAGGCGGCCTCGCGGGAGCAAAGACGCTTATGAAAGAGCAATGATAAATGATTCATTGTCGTTAAACCACAGGCGGCGTCGCGAGAGCAAAGATGTTTCGCGAGGGCCTCGAGGCGCAGGGGATGCGAGCCTCGCTAGCGATGATCATCACGCAGCGAAGGTCGACGGGCGAGCTCGGCTCGGAGATCGCGCAGGCGGCGGACCCTCTGATTCACTATTAGTTAAGAATGATTCATAATTAAGGGCGAGCTGGGCTCGGAGATCGCGCAGGCGGCGGACCCTCTGATTCATTTATTGGTTAAGAATGATTCATAATTAAGGGCGAGCTGGGCTCGGAGATCGCGCAGGCGGCGGACCCTCTGATTCATTTATTGGTTAAGAATGATTCATAATTAAGGGCGAGCTGGGCTCGGAGATCGCGCAGGCGGCGGACCCTCTGATTCACTATTAGTTAAGAATGATTCATAATTAAGGGCGAGCTGGGCTCGGAGATTGCACAGGCGGACCTCGTCGGCACCGTCACCGGCTGCGACTGCATCATCGTCGACGACATGATCGACACGGCGAGTAATTAGCAGTTAATTCGCAGTTAATTCGCAGTTAACTAGCAGTTAATTAGTCGACGACATGATCGACACGGCGGGATATAGCCGAGAGATGGCCGAGAGATGGACGAGAGATGGCCGAGAAATAGCCGAGAGGTGGCCGAGAAGTGGCTGAGAATGGCCGAGAGACGGCCGAGAGGTGGCCGAGAGATGATGGCCGAGAGATGACGGCCGAGTGATAGATGCGGCCGAGATGTGGCCGAGATGGACGCGGTCGCTGCTCCCCGTCAGGCGGCCCGTGGACGGCGCCTCTTCACAGCGCGAGCTGTGAACAGGCGGGCACTCTCTTCATGGCGACGAACGCGCTCAAGTCGTTCGGCGCGTCGCGCGTCTTCGCCTTCGCCACCCACGGCCTCCTCTTCCGCCCGGGCGACGCGAACTCATGCGTCCGTTGTTCTTGACGAAGAGGAATGAATAGGCCTCTTCAACCCCCCGCCGAGAGATCGCCGAGCTACCGCCGAGAGATCGCCGAGAGGTCGCCGATACATCGCCGAGGTGTGCAATGAGTAGGCCTCTTCAACCCGCCCGCCGCCGACCGCATCGAGGAGTGCGCCATCGAGGAGGTGATCGTCGCGAACACCATCCCGCTGCCGCCGTCGGTGAACCGCGAGGCGAGGAAGGTGCGCCAGATCAGCGTGGGCAAGCTCCTCGCGCAGGCCGTCAAGTGCCTCCACACGGGCGACTCTATTCTATCGCTCGATGTTGTCACGTCCTGTGATCAGGCCATCAAGTGCATCCACACGGGCGACTCGGTACAGCGGCTCTTCGACATGGACGAGGGAGTCAACCTGCTGGCATGAGAGGGGCGCGTGGACTCGCCGTCTCCCACATATCCATCTGACTTGGGCAATCGCCCACTGGGGAGGGTCGAATCCCTCAGACCGTACCGTATCTCTGTACACGTTAGAGAGCGAAGTCGTCTAATGTGAGTGAATAGACAATATTTTCACGATTTGGTACGTGGGCTCGCTGCGGACACTGACAGCTTTTACAGGAATTGCCAATCGGCAGAGTGTCTACAAGTCGAGTGTGTAAAGTGTCAACACTCGCTCACCTCAGTGAGACAGTGATCAGCACTTCGGCCACTTTGATTCATTTTTTAGCACGTGGCAAAAACGCACGCAACCCTTCAGCTTCTCGGCCTCGCTTCTCGTAACCGCCTCGCCAGCTCCCCCACCGCTGCTGGCGGCCTCACATCCGACGAACGCTCTCGCAGCGTCGCCAAACCCACCTGCGAGGGGTGCAGCACTCGCATGTGTGGTCAGCAAGTCCGCACGGGCGAGGCGTCAGCTGGGCATTGGGACTTCCGCACCGCCTTGTCGACGAGCGCGTCGTCGGCGCCACCGCCGCACTCGCCCCGCAGTGTCGCGCGCAGGATGCTGCGATAGTACTCCTGCTACGGAGAAGGAGTGTTTGCAAAGAGCGAGCTTCCGCCTGCGCCGTGAAGGAGCGCGCGTGCCTCTAGGCAAACAGGCTCTCCTGAGGCCGAATCCGCAGGTCCGGTCGCTTGACCGGGCTGTGGCCCGCCGCCCAGCGCGGGGCCGAGGGCGAGGAAAGTCTCCCTCTGCACCGCTGCCCACGCCGCTGCCGACTCTTGCCCGCCCTGTGAGAGAGGAATGAAACGTCCGGGCCGCGTGTGTGGCAGTCCGTGTGGTGTGGCAGTCCGCTCGAAAGTGTCTCGCATGGGGCGTCGCACCGCTTCTCCGCTCTGGCGGGCGTGATGCCGCAGCTCGATCTGGCCCACCACGAGGGCGCGCAAGGCAGACGGCACTGTGCTCCTTGAGGGGTCGCATGCCGGCTCCACCACACCCTGGAAGGTACGGCGAGGTGGTCGCGCGAGGGCTTCCCCCCATCTCCACATCCCGAGGCGCTGGCATCTCGGCTCTGTTTGTTTTATGACTATGTGCTCGCCTCTCTCGGCTGTTGTGGGTGTGCCTCTTGGCGGTCTGCCGCCAGCCAGGCCGGCCCATCCGCGCAGATCTCGGCGAGCGCTTCCGCGTGGGCGAGGGTCTCCTCGAGCACAAGTGCCGCAACCACCTGGAGGGCGGGCAAGTGACGAGGGCGCAGGAGGGGCTACTGAGGGGGCGGTAGGAACGTCGCCGTGCAGGAAAAGTCGGAGTATGAGATCGGATCCGCCTCGCGCCTGTGGCGAGAGTGCAAAGAGCGCTTCATGTAATCGCCCGGATGTGGTCGAGCGGATCGCGTTCGCGTGATGGATGGGTCGCCTTTGCCGTGGGCTGTGGAGAGCGTGTTGTGGGAGGAGCAAACTCGCGGCTATGGGCAGACTTGTCGAGTAGGGTCAGCAGCGCCTTGCCGAGGTGGAGCGGGCAACTGCTCGTTAGCTGTTTGAGCACCCGCGCCAGCTCCCCCGCGCAAAGTGGCTCCCCAGCGAAACGCTGCCCCTGCTCGGGACACGGCGCAAGTGATCTCAGATTCGTCGACGACTTGGATGAGCGTTTTTAGTGGGTCGTGGTTTATGACGGCCGCCTGCTGGCCGCCGAGCGCTGCAAATGCTGCGACGAGGTTGTCTTTAAACGCAGTGTGGCTGCGGGGCGCGAGGCGGATGAGGCGGAGCGCCCGCGTGAGCGCGGTCGACTCGCTGAGCGCCGCATGGAAGTACTGCACCAGAAACCCAATCGGTTCTGCACGGAAGAGTGGAGGGAGGGGTGGCGGAGAGGAGGGGGGAGTCGCTGCTGAAACCATGGACGCGAGCCTCGCACCTGCTGGTCGGTTCTCGAGCAGCAGCGCGAGCGCGTCGCGCATGTACGGCGCAACGCCGCACCGATCAAGGTACTCCTCGCCGTCGAAGGACGAGGTGCGCTGCGGCTCGCCGCCCCAGGTTGTGATGCGCATGTATTTAATGTGCGCCACACGCACGACCGGCACGGCACGGTCGGTTAGGTAGGTAACGACAACGAGAACAGGTCGCGACAAGGTCGCGATACCTCGCAATGGAATTTTACAACAACAAAGCTCCCTCGGGACTGGCGCGCACTGGCATTAACACAGGGTGTCGCCAACCAAAGCGACACGCACTCGAGGGTAGTGCCGACGGGACGCAGCTCGAGGGCGACTCTCGCGAAGGCACGGCTGGCAACCGTGGCGTGGGGCTCGCGTTCGACAAGACCGGGATCGCTCTACCGGCAAACCTCTCGCTGACATGCGCGCCCCGTCGAGCTGACGGCGGGCGCGCTGAGGTCGCACGCCAAGCCAAGTTATATGCCAATGGCATGCGATCAAGAATCGGCTCACGCGCCTCTACTCGCATACGCTCACCCTAGAATTGTCACCGCCAGTGAGTGCGAGATAGGGCTAGCGGCTGGCGGCTAGCCCCTGAGGAGAGTGACCAGAGACACCTCACATGACCCCATCTAGTCCGGCCTCGCGGTCGGCGGAGATTGCTAGAGGACGAGCAAGACTGCTCCAGCCTCACGCGCTCGCCCCTGTCGTCTGTTGTGTTGTTGTGCCCTTGTTTGTTCCTTCGGCGACTTGGCTGGGGGAGACGACAGGGGGGGTGCGCGGCCTTGAGTTATGTGTACGCCAACTCAGGGTGTGTGGCAGCCAGCTGGCTGTGTGTCTTGTGAGCTTGTTTGTGTCTGTGTGTCGTTCGTGCGTGTCGTCATCATCTGTCCCGCGTCCACCCATACCGCGTTGGTGTCCAGTCCGAGCCTGACTGTTGTTCATCTTTCTACATACTTACATACACAACACAGCAATGGAAAATAACGTACGGGCCCTCAGCGGAGCTGGGAAGAGGACCGACGCAAGCGGCGTGGCGTGGAGCGGTTGAGCATCCCTCCGGGGGCCCCCCTCTGCACCGGGGAGGCGTTGTTGGAGGCTAGGACGCAAGCGTCCGTCGCCCTTTTCAAACTCGGGGCCCACTCCGGTCTCCGCTACGGCCTACGCTCCGACCCGAATTTGGAGGGCCTGAAAGTTTAAGGTGTTGCTGCGCAAAAGGGGTCGGACACAGGGCGCAGCTCATGCTAAGAGCTAGAAGGGGAGCTAGAGAGAACGACTACCCTGTCCCGTTATTGCGTTCACCAACACCACAAAAGCTCTCGCCCTCCTGTCCTCACTCAGCTCTCAACAAGCGTGAACCGCGCCATTCGCTCTCACCTGGCAACCCTGTCTGCACGTCTCGCGCGCGCGTGAACAGGCCTCCAGGCCCCAAATGACGTGTGAGTGTTAGATTTGTTTGGTATTGCTAAAAATCTCTCAGCTCTCAGGGGGGTCACAACTACCGAGTCCCTCGACTAGCTGCCACGTTGCCGACCGAGAGCGGATCTCCTCCTGCTCCGCAAGGAGGGTGGCCAAGGCTAAAGTCACCGAGGGCCTCGACTATAGTCTGTCTCTCACATGACAAGCGATCCCACGACAGCGAGTGTGGGGACTACATGATCCGTACGTGAAGGGTGGCGGGGCCCGTCCGCAGAGCTAGGCGGCGCGGGCACCCTCCACACTGGGGCCGAGGAGAAGAGGCCGTTTGCCGCTTGCTTGTTCTTGATCCAGTTGGTGCGCACAGTGCGCGCCTGCTTGTTGATGTTTTCGGCCTCGCCCGCCACCGCCGCCATGCGTGTGGGGTGGGTGGGGTGGACGACGAGGGAGGAGGCGCTCGCCGAGGAGAAAAGAGATCTGCGACAGGTGTATTTTATTTTTGCTTGGGGCGGCCAGCATGCTGAAATTCTGGAAAAACCTGACCGGCCCCTGCGGTGCCCCTACCTACCTACCTACCTACCTACCCTACTTATGGGAAACTAAAAAAGAAATCACCGGCCTGGTGAAGGTGGGGTACTATACCAACTACAGTGATGGCTGGCGGTACTCTCCTGCAATCACAGTCCTTCCTGTGACATGGCAGGCCACTATCAAGCCCTACAAGCACCAGATCACCCACTTGGGGAGGGTTGACGTCGTGATTTTCGCCTGCATCTTGCGTGGCGTGCCAAGCACTCCGCTGCGCGTGGAGGGCTTTCAGACCGAGGCGTCTCCACAGACAGACTACCTCGTCGTCGACTATGGTAAATTCTTTTATGGAACCAGCGGGCCCGTGGGCGTCATCCCTCGAGAAGGCGTCCTCGGTGGCGCAGCGATAATGCCAACACTGCACAGGGTTTCAGGGTCTGCTTTGCAATGTCTCAGCCTCCGCCGCTGTCCCCACCGCCTCCGCCTCTGCCCTCGCCGCCGCCGCCGCCGCCGCCGCCGCCGCCGCCGCAGTCGCCGCTATCGCCGCCGCCGCCGCCTCCTCGCTCACTGCCGCCGCCGCCACCTCCATTGTCGCCTCCGCCGAGCCCTCCCCGGCCTCCTCTATCGCCCTCGCCGTTGCCGCTGCCGCCGCCGCT